AAACCAACAGCCCACCACATGCTTAAAAATAAATAAAAGTATTAACATTAAAAATAAAGCATATAAGTAAACTTCAATTAAACTTTAAGTGTTGCTGGCAGAGGATGGAAAAATCAGTACACTATTTTCAAGTTACCTAAGAGGATCATTTTTATTGTCTTTTGTGTCTTCTTTTTATTATTTTCTTCAGAACTCTTTAAAAATTTTATTGATAATCAAAAATATTGAAACTCTAACAGTATTTAAGGCATGATTTTTATTTTAATTTACTTTTTAAATAAATTTATTGGGGTAACACTGGTTAATAAAATTATACAGATTTCAAGTGTATATTTCTATGATACATGATCTAAATATGATATTATGTCCCCACCAAATTCAAATCATATCCCATTACCATATATTAGACCTCCCTTACCCTCCAACACCTGTCTCTCTGGTAACTAGCAACTTTACTGTATTTGTTTATTGTTTATAGTAAATTTTTGGTAGAGTCTTAAGCGTTTTCTGTATAAAGAATCATGTCATCTGCAGAAAGTGACACTTTTACTTCTTCCTTCCCAATATGGATGGCTTTTATTTCTTTCTTTTGTATGATTGCTCTTAGGACTTCTAAGAACTTATGTTGAGTAAGAGTAGTGAGAGTGGACATCTTTGTCTTGCTGCTGATTTTAGAGGAGAAGCTTTCAGCATTTCACCATTGACTATGATACTGACTGAGGTTTTGTCATATATGGCCTTTATTTTGTTGTGGTACTCTCCTTCTATACCTATTTTATTGAATGTTTTAATCATAACTGGATATTGTATCTTATCAAATGCTTTTCTGCATCTATTGGTAAGGTCATATGATTTGTATCCTTTGTTTTGTTAATGTGGTGTATTATAATGATTTGCATATATTGAATGATGCTTCTGACCCTAGAATAAAACCCACTTGTTCATGGTTTATTTAACGTATTATTGTATTAGCTTTGCCAGTATTTTTGCATCTGTATTCATCAAAGATATTGGTCTTTAGTTGTGTGTGTGGGGGGGGGGGGGCGCGCGCGCGCGTTATCCTTGCCAGGTTTTGGTACCAGGGTTATGATGGCCTTACAAAATGTGTTAGTAAGTATTGGCACTTTTTCAATTTTTTTGAAGAATTTGAGAATGTTAGGTAGAATTCAATAGTTAAGTTATCTGGTCCTGGGCTTCAATTTTTGGAGAGGTTTTGATTTTTTTTTAATTTTCTAACTGTTGAACAATCTACTTATCTTTTCCAATTCTTCATGATTCAGTCTAGGAAGGTCATGTACTTCTAGATACTTATCCATTTCTTCTACAAATTTCTTATTAAATTTTGTGGCATATAGTCTTTTATGGTATTTCTAGTATAATCTTTTGTATACCTGTGGTGTCTGTGGTAACTTCTTTCATTTCTGATTTTGTTTATATGTCTTTTCTCTTTTTTTCCTTAGTGAATCTAGCCATGGGTTTGTCAATTTTATTAATCTTTTCAAAGAACCAGCTCTTTGTTGCATTAATTTTGTGTATAGCCTTTTTGTTCTCTATTTTATTCATTTCTGCTCTAGTTTTTATTATTTCCTTTCTTCTGTTGACTTTAAGTTCCTTTTGTTCTTTTTCTGTTACATTGTTTACTTGGGATTTCTCTTGTTTATTGAGATGTGCCTATAATGATATTAATTCCTTCTTATTACTGCTTTTGCTGTATCCCAAAGGTTTTGATATGTTATACTGTCAGTCTCAGTTGTCTCTACATATCTTTTGATCTCACCTTCTACTTTGCCTTTCACACATTTTTAGTAGTATGTTGATTAATCTCCACATAATTTTGGGTTTCTCTATTTCCATTTTGCAGTTGATTTCTAATTTCGAAGCACCATGTTTAGAGGACATGTTTGGTATGGCTTTGGTCTTCTTGAATTTGCTCAGGCTAGTTTTGTGACCCAAAGTATCTATCCCTGAGAATGTTCCATGTGCATTGGAGAATGTACAATCTGGTGTTCTCGGATGAAAAGCTATGTAAAAGAATTATGTTCACCTGCTCTAATGTGTAATTTAAGGCTAATATTTATTGAATTTCTGTTTGGTTGTTCTATATAGAGCTGTCAGAGGAGTATTAAGGTCCCCAACTATGGGTGTGTTTTTGTCAGTTTTTCCCTTTAGTTATGTGAGTAGTAGCTATACATATTCCAGTGATCCCTGACTGAGTGCATAGGTATTAAGAAGTGTTACATCTTCTTGATGTAGTGTCCCCTTTATCATTATAAAATGTCCATTTTTGTATCTTGGTACCTTTATTATCTTGAAATCTATTTTGTCAGATATAAACATCCCCTGCTTCTCTGTGGATGTTATTTGCCTAGAGAGTTGTTTTTGGCACTTGCACTTCTAGTCTTTGTCTTTGCAACGTAGACGTGTCTCCTGGAGGCAGCCTGTGGTTGCGTTTTATTATCTGACCCAATCAGCTGCTCTGTATCTCTTCATTGGTGAATTCGGTCTTTTTCCATTTAGGGTAATTATTGATGTATGAGGATTTTCTATAGCCATTTTTCTTTTGTTTTATGGTAGCTCTGTGCTTCCATTGGTATTTTTCCTTTGTATTTCTGACTGTTGTCTTTGTTTGGTGGCACTCCAAAATTATTTCCTCTGTTTCCTTATTTTTTAAGCTTTTGTCTCAGTTTGGATTGTGTATGATTACCATGAGGTTTATGAAGTTAGTTTCATGTATAGTTTTTTTTTTCCTTTGAATCCATCCGATTTCCAGCCTTCTTTGGAAATTCAGACATTTATCCCATCTCCTTTCATGTTTTTGTCCCTGTTTATGTTGTAAGTTTGATGACAATCTTACCTGTAGTGTCGTGGCCTTTTGTTCTTTGTTTCAGGTAGAATAACCTCCTTGAGTATTTTCCTGCAATAGTGGTCTTCTGGTGAAAAATTCCCTGGAAAAGTCTTTACTTCTTCATATCTAAAGGATGTCTTTATTTCCTCTTCATATCTAAAGGATAAATTTGCTAGATATATTATTCTTGGCTGGTAATTTCTGTCAGTAGTCTAAATACAGGATCTGGCAAAAAGTAATGCCTGTTTGAGTGTGGTTGGTAGGGTAATAATATGGGTGTAATACTTTATAGTTTTAAATTGAACATTTTACCTAAAGTGCCATACAGTGTACTTGAGTGTGACATTCTTATGTTACAGAATTGCATGCTTACGGTTTTGTAATGAAAGATTTTGTAATAAAAAAGGGGGGCATTATTTGTGCCAGACCCTGTATTTGGATCCATTCTCTTCTGGCATGTAGAGTTTCTGCTGAGAAGTCCAATGTTAACCTAAGGGGCTTTGTAGGTTGCTTTCTTTGAGAATTCTTCCCTGGCGGCCTTGAGAATTCTTTCTTTGTCATTAATTTATGACAATTTTAATACAATGTGCCTTGAAGAAGGCCTCTCTGCATTTAGGTACCTAAGTGTCCTGTGTGCTTCTTGGATTCAATGACCTGAGTCCACAGGTTTGGGAAGTTCTCATCAACTATTTGGTTGAATAGGCTCTCCATTCCCTTCTCCCTCTATTCTTCTGGTATGCTTAGTATTCTTATATTGTTTTTTCTGATGGAGTCAGATAACTCTCATAGTGCTCAATTCTCTCTCTTCTTGCCTCTGAGTCATTTCTAGATTTCTATCTTTGATATCACTAGTTCTTTCTCCATTTAGTCAACTCTATTTCCTATGTTCACTAGTCCATTCTTGATGTCGTTTATTGAATTCTTTATCTCCAGAATTTCATTCTTTTGTAAAATTTCAATCTCTTTGGTAAAGTACTCATTTTGTTAGTTGATTTGTTTTCTGAGTGCATAAAATGGCCTATCTGTATTTCTCACATCTCATTGAAATCTGCCATTTAGATCACACATTTCCATATGTTCTGATTTGCTTTCTGGAGATTTTTCATTTTCTTTTTGAGCTGCCTTGCTACTTTGGTTATTCATGGTATTTGACAGTTTCCTTCTCTGTCTAGGCATCTATGTATGAGTGGCACTTCTCTAGCATATTACTTTGAAGAGATATTTCTATTATTTTTCTAGTAGGAGGCACTAAATCACATCTTGGGGTTTTGGGGGTTTTTTTTAGCTCTGTGAAATCCCATTGCAGGCCCCCACAGCGGTTACCAGTGCTGCCATAATGCTTGGGGGTGGTGTTTTCTGGGGAAATCCAGTCACCTCCTTTCTTTAGTCCTCCTGGTAATGGCAACCTTAGACCTCTGCAGGGCCCTCCCTGCCCCCCACTGCTGCACCCTGTCTAGGGATCAGTCAGAAAGTACACTCTTGGCTCTGGGGAAATAGTGATTCTGTAATACCAGTTCTCAGGTTTGCAGATAATATGTTCCGCAATCCACTACCAAGGGCGAAGGAATGTAAGCTTTGGTAGTTCATGGAATAGTGAGGCTTCATGACTTTCCTTTTTCTTCTGGAATGCTAACTGCACAACAGCAATGGCAACATCCCTATGCTGTATCCTTGTCCTGGTCTCCAGGTCCAGCCACAGCTTGTGCTGCTCTCTTCTGCAGGAATGCCCACCAAATCTCTCTGCTCCTTCTGACTGAAGGGAGTGCTAGCCATAACCGATTTCCTCCCCTCTCCCGGCTGTGCTCTGCCACAAGCTCCCAGCTGCAGGGCTGCTTCATGACTAATCTCAGCCTTACACCCTTCTCACCTACCATTTGTTCCTGCTTGCTCACCTTTAGATGCTTCCATGCATGGATCTCTCAGGCATGCCTGCATGTTGAGCAGTGAATCCTTTGTTGAGTTATAGCTGTTCAAATTGTTGAAATTTAAGTGAGACAGACCAAGGGGATCTCTCACACCACCATTCTCCTGACACCACCAGAGGAACATTTTAATGGATGGGAAATTCATTCTGTAAACATATATGGACTCAAATAAAAAAAGTTTAGCCCTTTTCAGTGTCAGTGTCTCCACATTAGGGTTAAAGCATACTTACAGATAAAGATAATTTTTCACGTTCAGCCTTCACAACTAGTTTTTCATTTCCATTGCCAATCCCATAGGTTTCTTCCAAAGTAGAAACAACCTATGAGAAAATCAAAGCAAATTAAGTACTTTCATAGTTCAAATTATTATATTAAATGTTAAAAGATATTAAATAAACCATGTCAGGACCTTTTTGGCAATAAGACATTTCTGCCAGTGTCATAAACTTAAATTTTCCATCTTGCAGATTACTTTGAAGAGATCTTTCTATTATTTTTTTCAGTAGGTGGCACTAAATCACACCTGGTTTGGTTTTTTTTTTTTTTTAATCTCTGTGAAATCCCATTGCTGACCCCCACAGCTGTTATCAGTGCATCTCCCATCTCCTATCATCATGAAGAAGTGATGACCAACAGTCCTTGACCCTACTTCCTAGCAAGAGAGGCCCTGTGACTCTTTCACTTCTGTGTTGACAGATATCTAAAAAAGGAGAGTCTGTCTATGCATTGCTGAAGCATCACCTATACTTACCACCAAAATATTCCTCAAAATGACTCAACCTTCTTGTTTGAAGAGAGTGGAGAAAATAAAGAGATAGAGACCAGAAGCAATACACTTTTAAAGCAAATTCTCTGAACTAGACTCTCAAACTTTGAGCAAACTTGTATTTTGGCAGCTTGACAAACTATATTCTTTTTATGTTTGTGCTATCCCTTGTTGTTCTCACTTGGTATTTGACACATTTACAATTCAAGTCTATATTATTGGGCAAAAAGAAAACTAGAGAAAAGGAGATTTCTTTCCCAACACTAAGAGCTCAAGTTTCTAAAGTGCAGAGAAGAGTTGATATAACAGGTATAAGACTTCAACAAGCCTATTTTTAGAAAACTCTTTTTGCATCTCAGAACTTGGATTTCAAGAAAGTCCCTACCATTCATTAACTGATTAATTGCTCACTGTCCCTAAACTGTTTGTACAAAAAATGATTTATACTGAACACCTGTTCTCCTTCAGAGAGTCTAGAATTTTATTTATTTATTTATTTATTTATTTATTTATTTATTTATTTTTTATTTTGTGACATTTTCTTTTTATTTTATTTTTTAAAAATCTTTAAATTATATTTTACCCATTGCCATTTCTCCCTTATACTACCCACCCCTTCCATGAGCACAGAGTTGTCCATAAGTCCTTTTACTTTTTCTCCCTCTACTCCCAACCTCCCCCCCAAGAGCTGTCATCCTGCTCTCTATCTATGAGTCTGTCTATATCTTACTTGTTTGTTCATTTTGTTCATTAGATTCCACATATGAGTAAAATCATATGGTACTTGTTTTTTTCTGACTGGATTATTTCACTTAGCATAATGTTTTCCATGTCCATTCATACTGTCACAAAGGTTATTTTTTTTTGAGTCTAGAATTTTAATACATGGAAAGCAATGAGTATCTAAGTGACCAAGCTCCAATAAAACCTTGGGCTCTGAGTCTCCAATGAACTTTTCTTGTACACATTTCATGTGTTTTGTCACAGTCTGTTGTGGGAGGAATTAAGCATGCAATGTGTGACTCCAGAGAGGAGTCTTGGAAGCCTGGACCTGGTTTCCTCCAGACCACCCGTATGCGCTTTCCCTTTGTTAATTTTGCTTTGTATCCTTTCACTGTAATAAATCTTAGCCATCAGTATGACTTAGGCTGAGTCCAGTGAGTCCACCTACCAAATCACTAAACTTAGGGATGCTCATGGTGACACAGGGACCAACAAGTGACTTACCATCTTCAGATGCTTGGTAATTTTCCTGAGCAATTCATTTTCTGCTATTAACTCCTTTGTTTTACTTGATGGAATGGGCAAAGCATACCTCACGATGGATTCTCCTGTTGGTGGAGATCTTAACACCATTGGTTCAAGTTTATTACGTACTAATTTTGAACTTTGTTTTTCCTTTGGTTTAGGTGACAATGGTGAATTAAGTAGTCCTTTTCTGTAACTTAATTCTGGAACATTTGCCAATTTATTACTCGAGGCCAACAGATGCTTTACTGGCTTCATTTTTGTTATTTAGCTTCTAAGTTATAGGTGAAAAAATTTTATTCCTCCCTGTGAAGAAAGACGAAGATTTCAGATTTAAAATGATGGCAGAACTCTCAACTGCCACGAAGATGGCAAACCCCAAAAATCAACTCTGGAGAAATTACAAAATAAAAAAGGAAACATTCCTAACAACAAAATTTTTTAAAAGAACTGTAAGACACTCCTAGAGGGGACTAAAGTCTGATTTCTGTATGGGCATTTAGAATGGGTACTAACAGGAAGGAAGAAGACAGTGGCAGTAGTAAAAGAATATATTCAGAAAATTTTAAAATATTAATCTTAGTCCTGGTCAGGTGGCTCATTTGGTTGGAGCATTGTCTCATACACCATAAGTTTGTGAGTTCAATTCCCGGTCAGTGCAGATACTTAGGTTGTGGGTTCAGTCCCTGGTTGGGGTGCATATGCAACACAACCAATTGATGTTTCTCTCTCACATCAATTTCTCTTCCCCTTCCTCTCTTTTGAAAATCAATGAACATTCCTCAGATGAGGATTTTAAAAAATGTTATTGTTAGCTTTCCCCCATTTCTAAACTAATATATACCCTTCACATATATCATTATTTTCATAGGAGTAATATCTTAGGCCCAGGATATGAGCAGAGTAATATAAGGGCTCCAACAAAGTCATGCTGGCATAAAGCAGTATAGACAGGGCAGGCCTTAAGACCCTCACTCTACTTTTCTTTCTCTCCAAAGCTGATTAAAACTTAGGACAATGCCTCCTCCTAAAGAGTTTTAAAGTATATACCTCACCATGAGAGTTATCTGACAGATTAGCAAAATTGAGAGAGAAAAGCATTGGTTCTCTATCGTATAAAGCTCTCCACACCTAGACTAAGTCCATTGTTGTGGGTTTAACTATGTCCCCCAAAAAGATATGTTCAAGTCCTAACCTTTGGAAGCTGTGACTATGACCAAATTTAAAAATACAGTCTTTGCAGATGTAATCAAGTTAACATGAGATCATATTGGACTAGGGTAGGCCCAAAATGCAATAACCAGTGTCATTATAAGAAAAACATGAGGAGACACAGGCACATAGACAAACAAGGAAGAAGGCCAGATAATGACATAGACAGGGATTGGAGTGATGTAGCTGTAAGCCAAGGAATATTAATATTAAGGACTGCTAACACCCACTAGAAGCTAAGAAGAAATAGAGAAAGAGTCTTCCCTAGAACCTTCAGGGGGTTCTGCCAATATGTTGATTTCAGAATGCTAGACCCATAACTTTGACAGAATAAATTGTCACTGTTTTAAGATACCCAGTTCATGGTATTTTGTTATGACAGCCTTAGGAAACTATACATACATTGAGGTAAATGATTCAATAGAAAGCAAAATATATGACTGATAGAGATAAAATTGCTGGGCTGATATCCTTGAGTAAAAAAGAAGAAATTGGTCTTAATGCAGAAATGAGTTGATGCACTTTTGATGTGTACAGGGAAAGTTATCTATAGTAACAGACAGAAAGGTGGAAATGTGAGCTACTTTAAGAAACCAGAAAGAATAGAATGAGACCCTCACCAGGTGCTAGAAAATGACCTAATAAATGGATCCATGTAGTTCATATTTATACAAAAGTTATGTGCAGTGAAAACATACATTTACCTCATTAAAATCATCCTAAATCCAAATTTAGAGAGGCTTCCAGCCAAGATGGAGGCGTAAGTAGACACACTTCACTTCCTTGGACAGCCAAAAGAAGGAGAGCAAGCAATTTAAAAAAAAAAACAACAACCAGAACTGCCAGAATATCAAACTGTGTGGAATTCAGACAGCCAAGGAGTTAAAGAAGAAACACTCTTCCAGACTGGTAGGAGGGATGGAGATTGGCAGCCAGGTTAGAGAGTATGCGTGGCAATGTGGCAACTTGTAGACTAAGCAGGCAAGGCAGTGGCCGGCTGACCAGGCAGTCCCACATTTGCATGAAGATAAACTGGGAAGAACAACTGCAGAGCTAAATAGACCATGCAATCCAAAGTTCAAGGGCTGGGAAAAGAAAACTTTGAAACTTCTTGCTGTCATCATACTCAATGGGCAAAAACTAAAAGCTTTCCCACTAAGATCGGGAACACGACAATGATGTCCACTTTCACCACTTCAATTCAACATGGTACTGGAAGTCCTAGCCACAGCAGTCAGACAAGAAAAAGAAATAAAAGGCATCCAAATAGGGAAGGAGGAAGTAAAACTATCATTGTTTGCAGATGACATGATAGCATACATAGAAAACCCTGTAGACTCCACCAAAAAACTACTCAACCGAATAAGTGAATTTGGCAAAACAGCAGGATACAAAGTCAATACTCAGAAATTGAAGCAATTTTTGTACACCAACAATGAACTAGGAGAACAACAAATCAGAAAAAAAATCACCATTCGATATAGCAAGAAGAAAAATAAAGTACCAGGAACAAATTTAACCAAGGAGGTAAAAGACGTGTATGCAAAAAACTATACAACATTGAAGAAAGAAATTAAGGAAGACACAAATAAATGGAAGCATATACCGTACTCATGGATTGGAAGAATTAATATCCTCAAAATGTCCATACTACCCAAAGCAATTTATACATTCAACACAATCTTATTAAGATACCAATGACGTATTTCACAGAAATAGAACAGACATTTCAAAAATTCATATGGAACCATAAATGACCCCGAATAGCCGCAGCAATTTTGAGAAAGAAACACAAAGTAGGAGGGATCACAATACTGGACATCAAACTACATTACAAAGCCACTATACTCAAAACAATCTGGTACTGGCACAAGAACAGACCCATAGACCAGTGGAACAGAATAGAAGGCCCAGAAATAAGCCCAGGTCTATATGGGCAACTAATATTTGACAAAGGGAGCAGAGGCATAAAGTGGAGTAAGAATAGCCTCTTCAACAAATGGTGTTGGGAGAGCCAGAAAGCTACAAGCAAAAAATTGAAATTGGATCATCAGCTGACACCATACACAAAAGGAAACTCAAGATGGATATAAGTTGCAACACCATAAAAGTCCTAGAGGAGAACATTGGCAGAAAACTCTTAGATATCCCACGCAGCAATTTTTCACCAATATGTCTCCTAAAGCGAGGGACATAAAGGAAAGAATAAACACGTGGGACCTCATAAAAATAAGAAGCTTCTGCACGGCTAAAAAAAGACATCAGCACAATGAAAAGGGAGCCAACCCTATGGGAAAATATATTCGCTAATGATACATCAGATAGAGGTTTGATCTCCAAGATATATAAAGAACTCACTCGACTCCACTCCAAGAAGACAAACGATCCAGTCAAAAAATGGGCAAAGGACCTGTACAGATGCTTTTCCAAGGAAGAGATACAGAGGGCCCAGAGCCATTTGAAAGGATGCTCGGCATCAGTAGCCATCAGAGAAATGCAGATCAAAACCACAATGAGGTACCACCTCACACCAGTCAGAATGGCCATCATAAACAGATCAACAAACAGGAAGTGCTGGAGAGGCTGTGGAGAAAAGGGAACCCTAGTCCACTGTTGGTGGGAATGCAGACTGGTGCAGCCACTATGGAAAGCAGTGTGGAATTTCCTCAAAAAGCTGAAAATGGCAGTGTCTTTTGATCCAGTGATTCCCCTGCTGGGACTCTACCCTAAGAATCCCAAAATACCAATTCAAAAGAACCTGTGCACCCCAATGTTCATAGCAGCACAATTTACAATAGCCAAGTGTTGGAAGCAACCTAAATGCCCATCAGTCGATGATTGGATCAAAGAATTATGGTACATTTACACAATGGAATACTATGCAGCGGAAAGGAAAAAAGAACTATTACATTTCGCGACAGCATGGATGGAACTAGAGAGCATTATGTTACACGAAATAGGCCAGGGCACGAAAGACTAATATCACATGATCTCACCTGTAAGTGGAACCTAACCAACAAAACGAAGAAGCAAGGAAAATAAGACCAGCAACACTGAAAGGAAAGGAAACCAACAGAGACAAGAGGGAAGGAGGGAGGGGTGGCGGAGGAAAAGGAAGAGAAGGGGCAAGTCAAGGAACATATAGCAAGGACTCATGGACAAAACAAAAGTGGGGAAGTATTGAGGGACGGAGGGGGAGGGGGCAGGGGAAAGTAGTGGGGTGAAGGCAAAGACAAATGTATTTGAAAAATAAATTAATAAATTAAAAAGATTGGAAAAAACTAAATCATCAATAGAAATATAATTAAGTAAAATATTATTTATTCACTCAACAAAATACAATGTAGACATTAAAATAATTGTTCTAGAGCTAATGAAATAACATAAAATAGTCATTATAAAAAATATATAAATATAACATAATTTATATAACATAAAATAGTCAAATATAAAAGAAGAGAGACCCCTTGCTATAAAAATCTGTGGGGGTTGCTCTGGCGGGAAATACTGCCAGTCTCACAAGAGAGTCCACTGGAGAGCTCCACAGGCTCCTAGAATGTACACAAGCCTACCCGCCTGGGAATCAGCACAAGAAGGGCCCAATTTGCTTGTGGGTAACATGGAAAGTGACTGAAAGCAGTGCAAGAGCCGAGCAAGTGGCATTGTTCCCTCTCTGACCCCTATATACAGTGCCACAAGGCAGAGAGGTGGGTTGCCCCACACCAGTGAATACCTAACGCTCCACCCCTTACAATATAACAGGTGCACTGAGACAAAGACATATGGCCCAAATGAAACAACAGATCAAAACTCCAGAAAAAAAACTAAGCAACAAGGAGATAGCCAACCTATCAGATGCAGAGTTCAAAACACCAGTAATCATGATGCTCACAGAAATTATTGAGTACGGCCACAAAATAAAGGAAGAAGTGAAGGCTATACAAAGTGAAATAAAAGAAAATATACAGAGAAGCAACAGTGAAGCATAGGAAACCAGGACACAAATCAACAAAAAAAATTTGAATAGAAGGAAGAAATAAGCTTTC